GAGGAGGAGGAGGAGGAGGAGGAGGTAGAACTGCACTTCTTAAGGAATAAAAAATATTTGTTTGTCCTTTGGAATTGCTTGATGTGGCTTTTAGAAATAATTCTTTCATTCAAGTAAGAGTTCTTATATACTTCTAAGAGAAAAAAATGTGAAAAATGATTTTGATTGCCATTTCTTGAATGTCCAATAATGTGTGCAACACAGAGCCCTTATACTGAGCCAAACCACTCTACAACTGCATTGTATCTGTCCCTCAAGATGATACCACTTCAGAGGATAAATGCTCTGAGAGATGTGTTTCAGAACCCAGAGTCATGCTTAGGTCTGTCTGACTCCAAGCCCCTTCTCTGAACCATAGGAGGAGACCCAGTAAAATCCATAGAGCAGGGTTCTTGCCTTCTGGATCTGAGAATCTCTTGGAGAATAATAAATATTCAATAAATTTAGAAAAAAGTTGTAAGAGCCAAGATAGTTTAACACAGAGGGTTATTGGAGTTTACAATAGCACAATGAATAATTTTCAATGAATAATAATATGAATATCTATATTTCAGCTCATTCCAGGAACTGCATTACCCCCAGCTTCAAAACCTAAAAGGGATTTTTTTTTCTGATTCCTTTCCTCATCTTCTCATGATGGGTAAGTTTGAAGATAATAAAGAGACTTTATTAGGTAACTACTCTGAATCTCTGCTAAGACAAGACTTTCTCTAAATTACTAAGTAGTTAAAATTCCCACTGACTCTCCCTGACTTCCATTCATACGCCTTAAGACATTATCCTAACAGCCTGTTTTGTATGCTTTTGTCTTTTTCTGTCTACTACTGCTCACTTGTAACCTCTATTTTGACAAAAATTGTTTGTCCTATGTCCCAATCTCTCATCTTTACTTTCTATCTATAACATCAAACCCACAAACTCACAGAATTTTGACTTCAAAAAACTGAAGAGATTGTCCTCTCCTGTGTTTTCCAAATCAGTAACCAAGCAAAATGATTACATAGAGTAATTATCAAATAAAAAATTTATAGTAACCTGTTTCCCCTGGATCAAACTCTCTCTGGGTATGAAAATGGTTACTGTATGTTTTAATCTTTCTAAATATTTCCAATGCCATCAAGTTAGGCGTTCACACAGTTAATATTTACCTTCATCTGACAAAGACACTGTGAAGTTCTAAAGATATGAAGCCACTTGTTCAAAATCACAGAATTAGTGTAAGTCTCTACATTTCTAATCTCTCCTTACCTCTAAAACCATATGGCCTTCTATTTGACTGGAATGAAAAGCATAAGTAATGAAAACATAAGTGCTCAAGCATCACATTTCAAGAGTAAGAGAGTAGCTAATATTACACTTTCTCTTTGAGCACTTACAGCTCTATAAGATTAAAAAAATATAGAGAGCTGCTATGTGCAAATTGGAAAATTGAGAGCATAAATAATTTCTTTAAAGAAAACAAAACAATGAAGTGACTGCCATATTCACCCCCAACTTTCTTCCTAGAGGCAATTTCCAAACCAAGAGCAGTGGAGTAGAGCCCAGGCAAATGGCAGCAGCCTCTACTATTAGAATGAAGAAAGCCAGAGTTCAAGGACACTAAGACACAGAATGTGTAGATCAAACAGGAATGAACCACAGAAAGGACACTTTGGGTTCTCAGCAAAGCAGTACATTTTGGATGTGTAACCAAGGATTCCACAAGTCTAGGAGACAAGAGATGCTAACAGATTAAGAACTGAAGTGAGGGGCTGGAGATTTAGCTCAGCAGTTTGGTGGCCTGCCTTGCAAGCACAAAGACCTGAGTTCAACCCCCAGTAACAAAAAAAAAAAAGAACTAAAGTGAGATTACAGAGGATGTACAATGCTAAAAAGATCTTAGAATTCTGACCTGATAGGAGTGGAGAGATTTTGATCAAGAAATAACTATTTAGATGAAATCTCAGAAAAGCTATATACTATAAGTAGGGAGAGTGTCTTTAGGGTAAAAAAACTGAACTACAACAGTCAAAACAACAGGAGTAAATGGTCTTCTAATAAATCACCTCATCCTAGAACAAAATCTAACACTCTATACAAATGATAAAATCATTCATGGTCACCTCACCATATCTACAATGTAGAGCATAATAAATTCAAATATTAATTGAAATAAAAAGAATCAAAAAATGCTATTCATAAACAAGAAATGAAGCACATTCATAAAATGGTTCCAGATGAAAGCTCATATCTTCAGGAAAAAATAGAGACCACTGGAAATATATGGGTACATATAAATTTCAAAATTACTTTGACTTTAAAACAATAAGAAAATAATTTATTATGGATTTATAATATATGGAGAAGTAAAATATGTAAAACAACAATAGCACAATAAAATATAATAATACAAGTAACCCAATACAAAAAGAAAAGGTGGTATAGTTAAAATTCCAACAGAAGTAGGATAGGAATAACTGCTAATATTCTATGGCACAATAAGACTACTATAATGAAAAACAAGGGTATATTTCAAAATAAAAAGTGAAAAGGTTTTGAATGTTTTGAACATAACACACAAAAAATATTGAGGTGACAGATATGCCAGTTTGGTAACAGACAATACTTATTCATCACAAAAACTACTAGCAAAGTAGGAATAGAAAGAAATAGCCTAAATCTGATAAAAGATGTTGACTGAAAACCTATAGCTAGCGTCATGCTCAATAATAAAGTACTGAATACCTTCATCACAAAAGCAGAACAAACCAAGAATGACTCCTCTTATAACTCCTATTATATTTTTCATGGGAAATTCTAGCCCATTTGATAAGAAAAAAATGTGAAGCTTCTCAGCAAACCCTCATAGTTCCAGGAAATGATCCTTAAATAGTCTGATACTAAACATAGCAGTCCGAGGATTAGTATACCAGAATCCCTGCTACATAGGTAAGAAACACGGTGTAGTTCACCCAGTAAGATAGAACCAAGACTCGGCATCTGTATGGCTCCAGAATCCCTGATTTTCCCACCCTGGTTTCTTTTAAACTCACAGAAATGTAGGGACCCAGCTCCTTGTTAAGCCCACTGATAACCACAGCCCCAATTGCTGTATGTTTACATGTGTGCGTATGTCTGTCAGCTTGCATAGCTACCTCTGTGATATATTTTCAGCCAATGTTCCACAATAATGCTGTATTGTCTGTAGATTGACTCAAAATTTTGCTGTGTCCTACAGTAATTCTAAGAAACCCCACTTCATCATAATCCCACAACAAGCTATTAATGAAGAAAAACAATTAAGTTTCATAAAGGCCCTGAGAGACCCAAAGGCAGAGAAGATCTCAGGGATTCATTAAATATTTCCTTTTCTCTAAATGCAGTGGAAGTGTTTTGTCTGGATGATGCAAGAGCAAGAAAAGTGCCTCAGAACTAATGTCTTTTCAGAGTATGCAGCCATGAAAATTTTATTTCAAATGTATTCTGACTATGG